GATCATCTAGTCCAATCCCCCTGCTGGAGCAGGACACCTAGATCATCTGTATTCGCCGCTTACTTGATAACTGCTGTTATCAACACTATTCAGTACTACTGTTGGTTCAGCTTCTTAATGTATGTTCACTTGTATTTTCTAATAGAGTAAGAGAACATCAACAATTCATAACTAAACATTAAAAAATCAGAAGTGTTCATGAAGATTTCATTCTGTCCACCTATGTATATAGTTTTTTACTACTCGGCTTAGTTCCATGATCATCTGTGCCACTGTAACAAAGACTTGTCCATTGAAACGAGTTACTATGTAACTTAATTTTACAGTGCTTCTCATCGAAGAAGGCAAAGGACCATGTTCAGTAGATGTGCATGTCCTTGATTTGTGCAATATGGCCTCCACTCTACATGCTGCCCTGGAGGCATGGACATTATGCAGCTACATCAGCCACATATTTACAAGACTGTGGTTAAGACTAAGATGTGGTTTGCATACAAACTGCCTTCTTTTTTAAAAAGTTGTAAAAAGATTTTTGATAATTGTATGTCACATGTGGAATACATAATAGTGTAGTAGAAACCATTTTGCTCGAACTCTTTTAGAATGATTTGCATAACGTATTTGTAGCTTCTGTTATCTCAGGAATATGGTCATCTCAAAGTCAAGCAGACTAAATCATTGTTTGCCATTTACTTGTCACAAAATCACTGCACCATTGTAGTTTTTGTTCCACTGTTTAAATTGCAGATGATACGCTATTAAAAATAGTAGTAGAAAATGAAAGTAGAATAAGCCCAGAGGGTTTTACTTTCTGGGTACTATTTTTTTTATGTAGAATAGGTGAGCTTTGAGCTTATAAAGGGTTCTTATATGTTGCTTACATACAAAGTTTATATCCATAAATAATCTTTAGTTTTCACCATAAGAAAGCATTGAATTAGGCCCAAAATAAGGAACCCAGATCTCAGGTTTGCTGTACTAGTCACATAATAACCAGGCAAAGAGATTAGGGAGAGGTAAGCACATCTTAATAAAATTTACATCTTGCTAGTGTTTAGAACCGTGTCTCTATTGGCATAACTGGACATTCCAGCCCACACTGTGCAGAGGGGAAAAAAAAAGTGAGCACAGAAGTGGACTGTAGACAAAATTATTGTTATCTCTGATCAGCAGAGAATTTTTAATATAATTTTTGGACATGTAGAATTAGCCCATCAAATTCTATATCTTGGTTCATTCAATAACATAGCTTCAGCTTATTATTCAATTTCAGCTTTGATCTGAAATCATCAGTAAATTATTGATTTTAAATTGGGTGGCTATAGTGCTGTTTTCTGTGTTGCCCTCTTAATTAATTAAAAAAGTTAAGTATTGTCATAAGTCACTGTGCTCCTTTGTTTTAAAATGTTTTTGGGTCTTGTAGTAGAGTTGTGTGCATCCGTTTGTGATTTTGCCTGTTTTCAGGCAGAATTTATGTAAGGCTGAACTGAAAAATCTCGCCATCCTACTTAGCAGCCCACTGTCACCGTACTTAACTATGGTCATATAAAAACACTCCTGCAACTTTTCACAGTCTCAGACAAAATTATGTTCAGCAAAATCAGAAATAGACAAAACCTTTACTAACATTGGATATAGATACATGTTTATATTTTTTCTATTAATTTTTGTATAGGGAAGTGGAACTGGTTTTAGACATTTTTAATCATTGCAATAAGCTGGTTAGGTTTTTTAGATTATAACATTAGGTCTCTAGTCTAAGGAGACCTCTCAGATAAAATAGTCTTGCATTAGGTTTCATGTGGAGAAAAAAAAAAAAGTGTTACTAAATATGAAAAATCTCTGAAACTTGCATCATAAAGCTTAACTACATAGGATGGTTTTCCTCTATGTCAAGCTGCCAAAAAAAAAAAAGGTTTTCTAAATAAAATTGCCGGTTTTGCCTTTGCCTGATAGTTCTGTAATGTGAGTGTGTGTGTGAGAGGTGCATTTAGAGAATCCTTAAAGAATGAGGAAATAGTCGGAACCTCCCAACTCCTGTCATCTTTTTGGATCTCAAAAAGCAAATAGCCAGGAAGTGATGAAATTAGTTCCTCAGACTTCATATAGGTATGGCCTATCCAGCATGATTCCTTGCAGGCATGGCCATTATAGCTTTGTGTTCCTTGAACAGGCAGCCAGCTTGAAGACTGTTTTCACTTTTAGTGAAATGATGTAATGATATTTGTACAATATATGCCCCGTCTTTTGTTCTTATAGTTTTTCCTGAACCCTTGTGAGTATTTTTCAAACGAAAACTCTAGCTTCATTTTCTATTTCTCGGTATGCATGTTGATAATGAGGTTCCCTCTTTATGATACAAGTATTTACAAATACAAAAAAGTTTTGGGGTTTATGTTTTCAGTTGTGAGTCTTCATATCAAATACCATACACTTTAAGGAGCTAATATATGTACTTTTCTGGTGAAGTGGTGTTAGTGGCATATGTTTACCACAATCCAACCATTTAAAAAAAAGCTTTTTAATTTTATTGTTCAGTGAGTCTCAGGCCCCAGTACTAAAATGGAGAGTTTGAAACTAATAGGGTTAAAAAGGACTTCCACAGTCTGTATTGTGTGTGTATTATACCTACATTGCTTATACATTGTTTTTTTCCCCCTAGTATTAGCAATCTGCTTTTGTACTTTGACACAGGGATTTCCCTTGTGGATTTTGTCACAGAAAAAAGAGAATCATCAATATCGCAGTTAAACTTGACTTTCAAAGCTAATAGTATCTCATTTGGGGGCTGAAATTTAATAAATTTTCTTTGATTCTGGGTGAGTTTTTAAACATCAAACAATGAATTGGCCAGGGTGCAGTAAAATATTTAGATCTATTGACTACGGTTCAGAAGGGTAGAAGGCAAAACACTGGTGGTTTGATGTTGATAAATTCTTAGTACCTTAATCCACATTAATGTTTTCTTTTATCTGTGTGCATACTGGCAGCAAAGTCACTGAAAAGTTGGGATATATATGCTATAAAAATGTAAATCGTGTGTGTGTGTGTATCTGTGTACATATATGTGTATTTAAAGTAATGCATTTGTTATATTCAGCAAGGTTAACATCTGACCGGAATTACACATGCTGACAGAACACTCTAGAGAGTATGTTTGTTCCACAGGACTGTATATCCTGAACCTAGTGCACTATGTGTGCAAAAAATGTGTAGAGGACCTTTCCTGTTATAAAAATTGCATCATAGTGCATATGTTTGGCAGCCACAGGTATTGACAGGAATTCTTTAGGTCAACTTGGGAAATGTCAGGCTCCCTATTCCCACAGAACAGAGTAACGAATAAAATAAAATCTTTTCTTCTTTGTATCAGTAGATTTACACATGCATACTTCTTTCAGTCAGAGCAGATTTCAAAGACTGTGCTATTATTTGAAATACATATAATCAACATTTTACAAAAATCTAATTTTGTACGTGGTTACAAAAAAAAGTAATGTGGGATCTAAAATGAATGGACATGTAATTCATGTTTGGTGAGTTCCTTTGGGCAAGGGAGTCTCTAAGAAAAACTGAAATTTATTTTAAATAGTATTTAGTAAATGGCGTACAGTGATTTATGTGGATTTAGTATATAGTTATGATGTGTTTTAGTATCAGACTGTGTATTGTTGTTGAACACAGTAAATTATTTTTGTGGTACTAGCTATTGCTGCTCAATAGATACAGTCTATGCCAAATTAATATATTTCATGTATTCATTTATACTAATGTATATTTGTATGTGTATCTATCCATCTGTATTAGAATGTAATCTGACTACTGAGATCTCCTGGAGGTTGACATGGTAATTTTTGTAGTAAGTAGAATGAAAAATGGGTGTGTGGCAGCATACGGTACATGAATGTAAGTGGTATGCCCATGGACTGTGTTAAATACATGTAATTTCACATCTATGCTGATGGACTAATTACATGTTGCAGTATGTGGAAAAATGTTGCATTTTAAATAATGGTAACAGTATTTGTCTCGTGTGCAACACTAATAAATCTGGTTGTGTTCAAAGACAAAAGGGGTAGTAAGTGTAGGCTGCTGAGGGTTTTACCCGTTTGCATCACTCCGAAGGCACGCGAGTTTCTCAATTAAAACCCGTTTCTGGCGTAGTCAGCAGGTGGCACTGTGACACCAACGGCCCGTGGTTGTGTTTGTGGCCGTACGGAGGAATGACATTGATAATGCTGGGGGGTTTTGTTCAATCCTTTCTTTAAGACTGCCTGCAAAACTAACTAAATATCAAACTGTCTGAATTTTGTTTAAATTGTAGCGTTTCCCACTCCAAATCGGCATAGTTAGAAACTGTATAAAAGTTGGTTAATACCAGTTAGTGTGTTATTTCTTATAGTCGGTCCACAATAAGAAATCTAGTAGTGTGTGTGTGTGTGTGTGGGGGGGGGGTTCCTCTGTCTGTTAATTGCAGAGCTACAGGTTAGTTTATTTTTCTTTGTCTGAGGATTATTCATTTTAATCTGGGGTTTAACTGAATTGATGTTAAGTGAACCTTGTTGTGGAGGACTGATACAATCTCCCCACAGCAGACAGAACTCACATGCCAGCTTCTTGTTTATGTGGTCACATGAACTTTTTAATTTCATAGCTGATGTTTGTTTGAGTCAGAAATACAATTACCATTTCTTTTTACAGGTTTTTACAAGGGACAGATCTGTGAAATGCATATACCAGGTGGGCTTATGAGCCCTTAGTGTCTCTTCTTTCCTTCTCATTTCAGACCAGGGGAAGATGCTTTTTCTTCTTAACATTCTCTCCCAGCACTCTGAATTAGAGATTTATTTGCAACGAAAAATCAATTAGTCCTAAATTTATTCATGGATTTCAGGTCCAGCGATCAATGCAAGTCCACTCAGTGGGCTCAAGGGGACCCAGTTCATCCCAGTTAATGTGTCTGAAGGGGAATTACCATTGATGCTGTTTTTTTCTTTTAGGTCAGAGATCAGACCTTGCTGTCACGGACTGCGGCAACCAGGAATGACTTCACCCTGCAGCTACCCAAACTGCACCTAGAGACCTTTGCAGTGGAAGGGCTGAAGGGCAGGCCAGAGGTTGTAGCATTTCAGGTTAGAGTCTAAAATAATCCTGTTTGGTTTTTTTTTTTCTTTTTTTTGCATCTGAGATATAGAACAAGAAGCTAGACTGCTCTGAATGTGTGGAGAACAAAAAGCTTCAAAACTATTCCAGTCAAGAGTTGAAAGAAAAATAATTTCCATATATACTCTTGAATACGGTATTTCAGAGATGATGTGAACTTTTAATTTTGCAGTTACAATGTTAAATAACTGACAGGACTATGACCATGGAAAAATGCAAATGTTATATTTGAAAATTAATAATCACTCTATCTCACCCCTTTTTTTTCTTTTCCCCATTTAATTTAAGCAAGACAAGTAAAATAGTGGAAAAAAAAGAGACAGGATTTTTATGATGCTTCTTGGTCAGTGATAGATTTTCCATATTACAGTTTTAGAAGTAATAGTGATTTTTGAGCATTCCTAATTTAAAAGAAGCTGCTTTTTGGCGTACTTAAACATAAAAGCTATTTTGTTCATGTAGGTTTAAAGACTTTTATGTTTCAAAATACTCATTTCAATAGGAAACAACAGGGAAAAGAGAAATGAACTGAAAATATACATATTTTCAGTTATAAAAGTGGATTCTGTGCTATACTTCCTTATTGGTTTTGAGTTTGTTATGTCTTCATAAACACAAACTATCCCATAGTCTTTATAGCTGTGTGGACTGATTTCATTCTTGTGATACACTATTGTTAAAGGCAGAACATTTTGTTTTCTCAATGAGAAGAATGAAAGGCAACATGAGTATATACTTCTTTCCTTGTGCTTTTCTATTTGAATCAGAGAGAGGAAAACTAGCCATGTAAAGACAATGCAAGTATTGCACAGTGTGTGTACACTTCTGCAGTAATCCTTTTTAATTTATTGTAGATTTTCTGCTCTAGCTGCAGTATATAATTGCACGAAGAGGTCACAAAATCAAACATTCAAGACAGGTAGATTCTATGCTGGACATTTCTCACTGTTGCGCTCTTGCATTCCTGACTTTGAGTATGATAAAGGTTTAAATTATGTGTGTATTATCATGTTCCCATTAAAAAGTAGTAATATGCAACACCTTGAGAGTCTCATGAACTTAACACAGCTGTACATCTCTAGCAGAGGGTGGAGTTGCAAGTGTTTCCCCAGTACCATGATGATCGCTTTTAAGGCTATGCAAAAGGTTCCACAGTTGGCGTCTTTTCAAAGATGCTGTCACAGAAATCACCAGCTTTAAAATACTGCTCTTCTAATTTGGTGGCCTATTCAGTGATAGCTGCCTTTTCTTTTGTCCCATCCCAACTCCCATTCTTTTATGACCTCAGAGTGATTGTAGAAGCATTTGCGAGACAGCCTATTCCTTCTTTCTAAGAAGATGAAGAGAAACAGAAGTATAAAAAGTTGCATTTCACATTTGTACAGAGTGCGCGTGGTATAAATAACACATGGCAATGTATGTGCTGGAAAGGTTACTGGTGGTGCAGTATTGTAAACATATCACCTGACGGCTCCAATTACATGTGGTTACTCTGTATGTACACAAACAGCATCAATAGTTCACAGTCTGTCTCACTGTGCAGTTCCTTTTTCCTTCCCTTCCCCTTTCCTTTTCCCTTTACCTTTCCCTTCCCTTTCCTGTCCTTTGTAGTTTGTCTGTGAGAAGTACATTTCAGTTAAAGGCCTTATTATCTGCAAGTGTTAAACACGACGAGTTTTTTTCCAAGTTGAAATTTCTTGATATTTGATGGTTGCTTTTTAAAATAATTGAATAAAAATTAAGAGCCTAAATTAGAGAGTATGGTAGGGATGAAGCACTGTCTACCAGAACTATTGGGTGCTCACAGAAGATTGCATTGTTTTATTTTCATGATTCATGCATCCAGTTCATAGTAGGTGGCTGGAGTCAGTAATTAATAATAATTTTATGTCCATTGGTTCAGTATGTATCACTTTTTCATCGTATGAGAGGATGAAAAACAGCTAATATATTTATATGTGCATATATGTCTGCATAGGTTATCTTTTTTCTGAATTTATCTGAAAGCAAGTGGTTCTAAAGGTGTTTTGAATGACTTAATGTGCTTGATGGTCTCAGCAGCAATTAGGGATCTATATTGCTTGTCTTTGGGAATATGGGAAATCTTGGAATTTTTTAATTGCTGTTATTTATATATGAATGTTTCTTGGGAAAAATATGCTTTCTTTATAAGAGACAAGTGCAAAGAAGATTGGCATAATGAACCCAAGTTGCTTGACTGTAAACTAAGCTATCAGAGATTTGGGTTTTTGTGGCATACTTAATCAATTATCTAGTAAAACCAGAAGGTTGGTTTTTATAGCAAATGGATCCAATGTTCCAAATACCATGAATACTTACAGGGCTGATCAAACAAACACACAAATAAAACCCTTCTCATTCCCAAATGAAATAATTGGTAAGCTGTATAGGATGTGGTGTGCATCTTTTAAAGAATGTTGTACACTCTAGTGATAGACCTCTAGATAATGAAATGAAATATTTGGGACAGAAAGTTCAGGTAGTTGTAGAGAGTGATGAGGT